GAATCACTGGCTCGATGGAGTTGAGATGTGTGTGGAGACGGTCGATCTCACTGGTCTTTACAACACAAAAGCAGTCATCGACGTACCGCAGGAAACACACGGGTGCTGGGGAGAAAGTGTCCAGGGCTTTTCTCTCGATCGCCTCCATTACGAGGTTTGCCACAGTGACGGAGACCGCAGCACCCATAGCCGTACCACTGGTTTGTCTGTAGAAGCGGCCAGCAAAAGAAAAATAAGTGCTGGATAGGCAGAATTCCAGTAGACGGCAAATCTCGTCCACCTCAAGGCACGTTCTTTCGGAGAGTCTCGTGTCAGACGAGAGGGCCTCCCGCGTCACAGACACTGCGAGAGGCACAGGCACACTTGTGAAAAGCGACACGACGTCGAAGGAGACAAGGCTCTCGTCGTCCCGCAGTTCGAGGCCCGATGTGCGCTCGATGAAGTGTCCAGAATTTTGGACGTTTTATCAAAGCCGAAACAAAGCACATTTGCAGCTCATTGACGTTTTTGTTTCTTCTTATGTAGATAAATATAAGATATAGTCAAGAAATACTATATCACATTTAGAATATTAGTGCTTCATTAGCTTTCAGTTCATGTCATAGGCTAGAACACTGCGCACATCTGGAACGCCACCGGTGTGATCCGTCTGCTGCGATGTCTTAAATTCGCATGGAAAACTCTTCCTGCAGGATGTACGTGGGTGTTATTTTAGCTACCATGTAATAATATTCTTTTAGCACGCTTATTTGAAGGCTTTAATTCCACTTTACACGTACTCAGGTGACGGGAGACAAAGCCGTCGTCTGCTAACTGAGTTTGTGAATGCGGACGGTTGGTCAGAATTGGTTAGCACTTTTGGTCATACTCCGTTTGCTTCTAAAAAATGAAATAGTGAACGCTAGAGATCGTCAACGATGCCGAGCGATAACGGTGATTTTCTTCCTCTTCAACGAAAAGGTATTGGGGTGCAAGTACATAGTGCAACTGAAAAACAGAGAATGAAACATTAAAAAAAGCAGAACATTAAGAGTGGAATTCAGGCCAACGGCCATTCGAAGGTTATAACACAACAGAAGCATGTTGCGTGTTTACCGCTTGTAAAATATGTGTCTCCCCTGTATGAAAAAAAAAAGTTCTGTGTTGTGCTCCTATCACAAACCCCTAATATTAGTATTCGCTTGCCCTTTCTGGTATATTGATATCTTATCTGAGTAACATCTGTATATATAGTATGTCTGGAATATATATTACATTCATGTACATAAGGAAAAAAGAAATCGCTGAACTATAAATGTGCTTTGTTTCGGCTTTGATAAAAAGCGTCCCAAACAGAATTCGAGTTGTCGCTATTCAACTTGCAAGCCCACCCAAACCTTTTGTTTAGAGAAAAAAAAATTATTCCCCTTCTAGTTACTATAAATAGACACGTCATAATGTCAAGATTCTTAGCGTTAGCTATACAAACATAGTTAACGAAATTAAGTTCCCCGTGCAGTGTTCTGCTCGACCGTACCAGACGACGGCGTGCGTTGCCGACGAGGTGGACACCTGGAGGTGATGTTGTTCTGCCTCATATTTAAAAAAAATACTTTCTCCAAAATACTAAAAAGTACTTTTCTAATTTTTTGATATGTTGAACAGAGGGGGTTGGTTAACCTTTCGGCTATTTCAGAAAATGCGAACACTGTTGCCCACATGGCTTTTTCTTACCCTCTATATGACCGTTTTAGAAGAAAGTGACATATTCAACATTTATTTTAAAACTGTCCGAATAATTTTTTAGAATTATAATGCAACCTAGTCGAGCATAATGTTCAGAAAAGTAAGTAAAAAAAGTTTCTTAGTCAAATTTTAATTTCAAGTTGGCTAAAAAAAAATCAAGAAATCTTAAAAATTTGCTTCGGTTTGGAGTGCCTGTCTGGACCCAAAAGGGCGGCAAAAGGTGTTCTCCTTTCAAGGTAAGATAGAATATATTAGTGATCGATTGCATGGAAACTTAAAATTACGTGGTAAGAATAGATTTTTTTTCAGCAATTTTTCGAAATACAGAAGGTTTTCTCCGATTCCCCACACTTTGGAGCATGACATCAGAAAAAATAAACGTAATTCAGCCCTCAAACTTAACAAACCCTACTTTCAAGCGTGTCTTTATTCGTATCATTTTTGTCGAGCATATCCAAAATATGACGAAAATTGCCGTTTCCTTTGGCATGAAATGACCCAAATGACATACGTGGCGAATACACGTGCTGGTTGGTACCCAAACAGCAAGCCGGCGGGTGGACGAGGAGAACAGTGGGAATATCCTGTTGTGCGAAGCAAATTCTAAACCTCTGTAGAACGCATCCAAGCAATGCGTAGAGCAAATCGTCTGTTTCTTGCGCACGAGATGCGGTGACTTTAGAACAACGCCGAGCTTTGATTGGTTTTGATTGAAATGACTGTGGGTAGATTTAAATGATAAGTGCCTTCAGGTATACCCACTATTTTTTTTTTATTTTTTGATCAGTCATTAAGAACTCGGCGTTCTGACGTCACGCTACCCTTGTGCAAGAAGCAGACAAACTTTCGCTCCACATTGACTCGAGGAAAACCTTCCGTTTTTTATTGTCTTACTTCCTAGTTTTGTCAGTCACTATCTTTTTTTATTAAACTCCTAAACAAGCTTTCTTTTTTTTCTTTTAGTCAGTCATGCCTGTTTTAGTAAGGGTTAATTAAGTGCGTATGTATGAGCAGGAATTGTATAGGCCGTATGAATTTTTCAATTTTTTTATTATTGTACGTTTATCAACTAGAGTAGATTTGTACTCTGTTGAGTATCAGAATACTTTTGATTTGTGCCCTGTTGAGTATTGGAATACTTTTGTTTGCTAAACAGGGACTTGATACATTTGTGTTTCCTAATAATGAACTGTAGTCAGTATTGAACTGTATTTCATACCATACTATTGCAGCTTGAAATGGTCTTGTTTTTAACTTATGAAATGTGCGATTTAGGTATTGATAAATAGTTACAATATTTTGTTTTCATCAGGCTTAACTTCTTTTTCGGTAGTTGCCTATGCCTACTATTGTAAACCCATGAGAAGAACCAACCCGCTATCACCAGGACAGTTCTCAATGTATTGTAAACCCATTAAAATATTTTTTTTTGCTATGGGCTGGAATATATTTAAGGAAGTGTCACGTTTGGAAATGGTTCTGGAACGTCAGATGGAGATGCTTTTTTATTTATATTTATTTTTGTATTTAGAAAAACACATATGTGCTTATAGCACCGAGTTCGAGTCGGGTTACCGGCTCCAAGATTTGCTTATACTGCTACGAAACTCGACTTTTGTTGCTCCTGAGCTGCTCCAGAGCTGAATTTTTACTGCTCCAAAGCTGCTCCAAAGGGGCATCTTTGCTGCTCCCAGACCTGCTCTAAAAGGCTGAAGCTTGCTTCCACCCCTGGTCGTTGTAGCTGCAATATCGGGCGCGTTAGTCAGCAATGAATGATGCAGGAGGCTTTCGCTTTGCCTTACCTCACTGATGTCGCAAAACATGAGTAATGACCTCGCCTCATTTTTAGATAGTCTTTTGATTCTGGCCATTCCTAAGCCTAAAAGAACGCGATAATTGTCGGCACGGCAACGTCTTTGGAAAGTGGATTTCCTTGACTCAATCGGCTGGGTATTGATAGCACACAAAAGCAGACAGCGTCCCAGTAGACCTTTTTCTAATTACCCAAGCGTCGAGGAGAACCCTGAAAGTGTAATTCTACGTTCCACGCGCGCTCGCCTTTCTTTTATAAAATATTCGAAGTAAATAATCATAATAAGGCTTTGACGAACGCGCGTGCAAGGCAAAATTTGTTTTAGACATTTTGCTTTAGAACAATTGAAACTGCAGACGTCAGCACGTACAACGCGTGTAACTACACTCGCAGTATGCACCTCGGTGCTTGGGAAATTTATAAAAAGGTCTATTGGGACGCTGTTTGCTTTTGTGTGCTATCAATACCCGGACGATTGAGTCAAGGCAATCCGCTTTCCAAAGACGTTGCCATGGCGACCATTCTCGCGTTCATTTAGTCTTAGGAATGGCCAGAATCGAAAGACTATCTAAAAATGAGGCGAGGTCATTGCTCATGCTTTGCGATTTAAGTGAGTTAAGGCAAAGCGAAAGCCTCCTGCACCATTCGTTGCTGACTAACGCGCCCGATATTGCAGCTACAACGACACATTAGTTTTAAAGCGAGCGGCGCTCACTCACCGGGGCACCGCCATGTTTCCCCGCATCCCTACCGAGCCAGTCACGTGATTTCAAAATCCCTCTCCTAGGTACTGTGGCTAACTTTAGCCACGGTTAGCGCTTCGAGCAAACGGGCCCTGGTGCCCATTTTTACTCCGTTACATTTTCAAGTCCAACCGAAATCGACGCTACGATCCCATGGAGCCAATCAGGCAGCAGCGAAAATTGCATCGTCACGGCGCTTGTTGTGTTTGCGGGTTTGCTATCCCCAGCTAAACGAATCGCGCACAGTAAATGCACCGGGATCCTGCGCTTTCTTCTAGGCGTGATTGGTTTAGCCGGGAATAGTAAGCGACAAAGGCGACCAGCGCCGTGACGATGCACTTTTTTCCGCTGCCTGATTGGCTCCATCGTATAGTCGGCTATACGGTCGGACCTAATAGGGAGTTTTAGGGAACCCTTTTTGCACATTCCCAAACGGTATATGATGGGCCCTCCGGTACGAACTGCGCATGTGCTATACCGCATAAGACTCCCGCACGCGCAGTTTCGTACCGGAGGGTCCATCGTAGCGTTTCGGATGTGCAAAAATGTTTCCCTAAAACTCCTCAATGTGAAACGGGTTATAGTCTACGGTTAAATGCACGAAGAAGAAGCGATCGTTGCGCTTGCTGGTCGAAGTTGAGATTTCGGTTTATCGAAACGGCCGCAATGGCTGGGCGACCTTTTTGTTTTGTTTGTGGCGAGATGCGATGTCTGTGCTAATGTCTTCAAGTGGTTATTCTTCTCACGCGCTTGTAGTGCTGGTCCTGGCGACGTCCGAGACCTTGGGAGGCGTGGTGAACGGCACACTCCCGGTGGTCCGCATACAAAAAGAGCAAGCTGAGGAAAAAGAATGCTGCAAGGGTCACCAGAAGCCCACCAAGGAAGAAGTCGAGTGGGGAAGAGAACTCGTCAAGAACGTCTACATCGCGAGCGAAACTGTGAAGGTAAGAAAGTTGTTATTGAAAAAAAAAGAAAAAAACCCGGATTTTATACGGGATGCGAGCCAGTACGTCTGCTCTTTAATCACGTCGTGCGCTTGTTGATCCAGAAGATTCAGTCCATGTGCTCTTGTTCTTCCTCCGACTTCAACCAATATTGGCGCACGCTTACAGCGCGAGGTCCCTGGGCGGTCTTTATGTTGCCCCTTGAGTGGCTAAGGCTTCAGAAGAAGAGGGTTTTTACAGAATATAGCCCCTGATTGATCATACATTTCAAGTAATTGCTGTTTTGCTGTTTCTATAAATATTGTACTTCTGACACCAACGAATGTCTTATCTATTGGTGTTTTTTTAGTTTTTACTGATTTTATATTTTGGACTCCCACGCATGCCTATTTGCGTCTTACAGTTTTATCCGATGTTGTATTTTTTTACAGACGGATGTTTTTCAGTGTTTCTTTTGTTTTAACCGATCTTGTATCTTTGGCACACACGGTTTATCTGTGTTCTTGTTTTTAACCAGTTTTGTAAGTTAACACTGACGGATGTTTAGCGGTGTTCTTCGGTTTTAAGCCATCTTGCATTTTTGACACCAACGGATATATATCGGTGTTTTTTTATTATTTTGGCCTATCTTGTATTTTTGAAACCAATGGACGTTTATCGGTGTTTTCGGAATTAACCATATTTGAGCGTTCGACACTCACGGATGTTTAGCAGTGATCTTAGGTTTTAATGCATCTTGAATTTTTGATACCAACGGATGTTTAAACTAAAGCAAAAGTGCAGGGCAGCTGGTTCAATACTGAAACGTTAACCCAAGAGCAAGGGAAAAAGAGGGGCAGACAACACAAAGCTTTGTGTTGTCCGTCCCGTTCCTGGGTTACCATGTTAATAAATGTATATCGGTGTTTTTCGGTAAAAAGCGGGAAGCTATACCGCCTAGTTGTAACGGAGAGTTTTCAACCAACTTTGCGCAGATGCTTCCCAGGACTGCGTTCTACAGCGACCAAGAAGTCTGCTACGACGGCCTGGGCTGCTTCTCGCAGAGGGACATCTTTTCACACTCCATCTCGCTCCCATCTAGCCCCAGGGAGGTGGACACCAAGTTCATGCTCTACTCCCGCAAGAACAGACAAGTCCCCGTGCTCCTCGACTACCTGCGCTACGAATCCTTGGGCGTCGATCAGTTCCAACGGCAGAAGAGCCTTGTCTTCATCGTGCACGGGTTTGGTGAAAATGGCAACGCTACTTGGATACTGGAGATGAAGGACGCCTTTCTTGAAATGGTGAGAATGACTAGACAGTCACTGACAAGGTGAAAACGGCAGGAAGGGGAGAGATCCCACCTCGAGCTCAAATTTCCTACCAAAGTTCCTGCTTTCAACAACTCGTCGGTGCCTCGTGGACCACAGTAATTACTCCGAATCTACAAAACGGAAAACCGTGAATGACTCAAGTTTTTGTGGGCTCGAATTTTCGCGAATCGGGCCAAAGTCGAAAATATGTAATTATTCGCGGGCTTCAATTTCCGACACTCGGGGAGGTATACCACGTATTTGCTACACTAGGGAAACATATATTCGGGGGATCTATTTTTCGCCAATCATAAGCAATTAGCGAAATTCCCAAAAATTAGGTCCTCGCGAAAATTGTGTCGTCTACTGTATCTAAGTCAATTTCTCTGTTTATTTTGACTAACCAAGTGATTGATTAACCGTCCAAACAATCAATTATTGTTTTAGTTCTGATGCATTTTTTTCAAGCGGTTTGCCGGGTGAGTTTTGTGCTCGAAATTTTTAGGAGAGAGTAAAAATGCCCGCCTTACTACTTGGCATGCCTCTTTTTTGCTTAGGATGGGAAATGCGCACTTGTTTGTTTCACAGAAAAGCGCCTTAGCATTCCTCATGGTTGTGAATCGCAGTGATTATAAGGTGACTACGATATACATGTAGCAAAATTTCAATTTTAAAAATGCTTGCCTGTGTTTTCTTTTTGCTGGCGGTACAGTGTCAAGTTTCGAATAAGACTTTAGATTGCTCTGCTCACGACATAGCAAGAAACAGTGAAAGCAAAAATATATAGTTTGACTTAAAAATATGTGTATTATGCCTTGAGGCCAATGTGTTTGATTCATTTTAATTAATTAGTCAAAGAAATGGTGGCAATTAATTAAGTTAGAAGGTTTTATCGGCGATGAACCCTAAAGTGTGCATGCGTTGAAAATAGACATTCGCGAAAAACCCCAAAAGGCCTGTCCTAGATCCCACCTTGCACCGCGTGGCGCGTTGAATTGTGGGACCGTTCCTATGTACACTCGGGTCGGCTCGTACGCTCCGTACATCCTGGAGGTGGCTCAATTCCTTCACTCTCACCCAGGCACGTTGCCAGGATTTTGGTTTGGGGGTGGGGGGGGGGGGGGGGGGGGCGCCCATGACAAAATGCTGTATGAGGGGGAGGGGGAGAGGAGGTCCCAGCAAAATGTAAGATTTCAGGGGGGGGGGGGGCCGGGCCTTATGGGCCTCCCCCCTAGCTACGTGCCTGCTCTCATGACTGCGAGGTCAGAACAGAAAGAAGACAAAGCGAACGCCTCGCAAAGCCAATGCTTACCCTGTCTTGTTATCGTCCTGCGTCCTTTTCGTTCTGAAATCGCAATATGCTAAACGAATACTAACCAACGCTTCTATAAGTGGGTTCTTCTCCACACGCCGCACATCGGATTGCCGTAGTGCGTCGAAAAGACAATTTGAGGCAATAAATATTTCCGGAATGGTATCTTGTCCGCGTACCAAACTCTGTCCCGGTGGTTCGTCGCGCAGGAGGACGTGAACGTGGTGGCCGTAGACTGGAACAAGGGCTGCCCTATGCCCCTGTACATGACCGCCGCCGCCAACACGGCGCTGGTGGGCAGGCAGATCGCGCGCCTCGTGGAGGTATTGGCCCACCGGCACCCGGACACCGTGGTTCCGGGCAAGGTGCACCTGGTGGGCTTCAGTCTCGGAGCCCAAGTTGCGGGCTTCGCGGGAAGGAGCTTCTCCAGGACGGTCGGGAAGAAGATCGGACGGATCACTGGTGCGCGCTACCGGAAATAATTGTCCCGCGATTAAGACTGCAGCTAAATCCTCAGGCGCGGAATAGACTCATTTCACTAGCCAGTTTTGCTTAGGGTGCTCCAATATCCTTCTGTTTGGGGCGATGGCATTCTTTGTAGTACCCGACACCAACGCTCTCCGGGAGAATACTAAGAAATCGGGGAAAACAAACTGCCGCTTTAGCACTGACAATGTCAAAAGCTCGTGCCAAAAAACGCTCTTTCAGGCGCTCAATATATATATATATATATAGGGTGTTTTAAAGAAAACTTTGCAGGGTTTTCTTCGCCGCAAAAATGAACTACGCATCGCCCAATGATCATTCTCCGCCCAAGGGTAGCTCTAGAGGTCCGAACCAGGTACCAAAATATCAGCACGGACCGGTGTCTTATTCAAAAGTTATGTGATTTTTTTGAAAATTGTAATGGGAAAATGGCGGGCGACGGAGCTCTCGAACACATCGAGCCCTATAGCGCCAGACACCGAAATAGCCGAAAATGGCCCCCCTTTTCCCCCACTGCAGTTTAAACAAAATCACTTATAACTTCTGAATAAGATATCGGTTCGGGCTGAAACTTTGGCATTTGGTTCTGACCTTTAATGATACCTTTGGACAGAGAATGAGGGTTCAGCGAAAAATAGTTTGTTTTTGGGCTAAAAAAAAAACAACAAAACCCCTGTAACTTTTTTTTGGTGACACCCCGTATATACAGTATATACAAATAAGGGTTTGGAACCAAATAGTATGATTCAATCGCCCTAAGCAAGTTGCCCTAAACAAACCGCCCATAAACAAACCTTAGTTTTATTACGTTGCCGCAATGCGTGAATGGGAGTCCTACTGCTAATGCGTCGTACAAAAGACAATCTGCATACACTGTCTGTGCTTCTTCCTTGTACGACAGTTCTGTCATTGGCCGTACTCAAACTGTCTGCAGGCACTTGAAGCACTCAGAAACAGACGTGCTTCGAATATGCTTCAAGCCACAGATAATGCCGTCATCATGTCTCCAGTGAACACCGTACGGCACAAGACACAGCCGCCTGCCTCGTGTGGGCGAAGAGGGGCGTAAGGGAGTAAACTAGAACAAATGGCACAAAACAATCGCAATAAAAAATATACAGGAAAAAATTGTAGGACGTTTGAAAAAGAACCAGAAACAGTAAACAGTAATATTGGTGCGGTGATCTTTAGGCGAGAGGATTAAAATACCAAAATTACCCGAGCTCTTAAACGCGACTTGGAGAGCAACTTCTGATATCGTCCAAATATGGCGATAACTCACTCTGCGGGCTCTAAGCATCCTAACCATCCATACACTATAACGATGCGCGGCCGATTTACACATTGAAAAAAAAAAAAAAAAGCAATCAAAGCTCGAGATTATCGCAGTCGATGGGAGGAGCATTGTGACGGCAGCCTGGACGGCATGTAACCAATGAAAGCGCGACATTTCGTTGAAATAGCAAACGCTGTTATTACAAAATGCGTAGGTTTTTGTAGATGACAGAAGCAAGTAAGAGTAGTCGAAAATAAATATTTCGTAAAGAGAGAACTTAGTACTGTCATAAACGTCTAAAAAACAGCGCACTGTTTTTTTTTTTTTTTTTTTTTTTTTTGAGGGGGGGGGGGGGGTGGGAGTGTTGGTCTCCGGCCGTCAGCTTTCGAGCGCGCGCTTGCTGGGTTGAATCGTAGTCCGGGCTGTATGAGCAACGAGTAGTGCGCATTCGAGATATTGACACGAATGACAGACGAAGAGGTAGGAGAAAATGCAATGAACTAAAGATTTAATGGGGGCCGAACTTGTGCCAAAAACGAAAAAAAGAACAGACCTCGAGAAAGCAGCAGCGAGCGTCGACGGCGGCAACTGCAAGCGACGGTGCGTCAGCGTAAGAGCTGGCTATCGCGAGAGATGATCAGCAAATGAATCGGCAATATGGCGCTCGGCTCTTCATCTACTATGCTCGCCATTTCGAATATTCTACCTAGAATGTTCGAGGAAGAGCTAGGAAGAGACTGACCAGGCAAGGCCATCTGGCCTCCTCCTCTTTTAAGCTCGAGGTAAGAATACACGATTCTTCTAGATGAACGGAGAAGCGTGTCTTTTCGATCATGCACGCAGCAATATCACTCTGCGATTCCCCCGGTCGGAGGAGCGAGGATCCTTCGCTTACTACTGGCTAACAGTGGTCTTGTTCTCGGAACATGCTCCTCCCATCGCCAGAGAGGACCTCAGTGTGGGTCAATTTTTGATTTTTTTTTTTGTTTTTTTAAAGTTGGCCACGTATCGTAATGATCTAGGCATTTCTGTAATGCTTAGAGCCAGCAGAGTGAGTTATCGCAATATTTAGGCGATCTCAGAAACCTCCTCAGGGTGCCTTTAATTATGCCGACAAGGACCGGGGAGCAGAGGATGGGGTTGAGCACAAACTACCACCTCGCAGAACCACCTTGCAGGAATTGAGATCACGTGACTTGAGGTTACATGACGTGGTCACGTCACGTGACATCCCTTTTCCCACGCTATTTAGCGAGAATATTTACGTCACATAAATTGAGGCCACATGATGTTTGTGATTTGATGTAACATGACGTCACTTGACTTAGTTTCATGACGAGGTGCCGCGACGTCAATTTCCCCACTAAATTTAGCCAAAAAATTTACATCCAGCTTCACTCTAAGATATGCCTGCGCGTTTACTTGCCCGCAAAACACTCAAAGAGCCAATCTCTGCGATCTGCGAAATAAGCTCAGCGAATGATGAGGCGCAAGATTCGTTTAGACCTAAAAATGAAGTCTGCGCTGTGGCGTTACGCAATGCAAAGCGTCATGCCTACATTGCGTAATGCCACAGAGCAAACGTAATTTTGAGGTCTACACGGATGTTCCGCTTCATCATTCGCTGAGCTCATTTATTAGATTGCACAGGTTGACTATGCGAATGTTTTGCGGGTAAGTAGACGAGCAGGCATTTCTTAGAGTGTACAATGATTTCCCTTCTAAATTTAGTGGGAAAATTGGCGTGTCAGTTCTTTGTGATGGTTCTTCGCGACGGGTCTTTATTACGCGTTTCTCATAGAATTCGGCTAACAAAACACGTTAATGTTTAAAAATACATGATATTTGTTTGTTTGCGTCATGACGCAGGTCTGGATGCTGCTGGTCCTCTGTTTGAGTCCTACGGGTTCCACGTGAGCAGGCACGATGCGCAGTTCGTGGACGGCATCCACACGAGCGCGGGCACGAACCTGCTCAAGGGTTGTCTGGGGATGGTGAAGCCCTACGGCAACGCCAACTTCTACCCCAACGGAGGCAAATCCCAGCCTGGCTGTTGGTGGTTCGGTAAGCTTCGACTACACCTCCCCTAATAGGGAAACACACTAAACAAAATTAACCCTACGGGTTCCCTTCGCTGCTGAACATGGAGGAAGCCCATCACGACGAGCCGTAACAGCGCTAGACGAAGCTCCGTATACGATTCGACCAAGAAAATAGCATATGCGCATATATCAATGAGCACATTTCACTTGCTCATTATGTTGCACATCGAATTTTTCAGAGTTAATAGCAAGATATGTTGTTCGCTAGGGTTCCTTCTATTCTACGCCGTGACTTATCTCACGTTCTGCAGAAAGTCGAATTTGTTGAATTTTCTTATCAGAGTGCATAGGCCATGATTGATGTTTTGAAGGAAGAGTTCATCACACGCTAAGAGTTGCAGCGACCCCTCTTGAAGTTACTTGAGCCGAAAACTAATTATTTCAACAATTCAGCTGATATAAAGTCGAACCCGTCTCTCCTAGAGTAACTGATATCTTAAGATACAGAAGGCACGGCTTGTGTTTCTTACATACAAGGCTCTAGGAAGCGCTGGCGCGTACCCTGGCAAAAGAAGGTATTCAGGTGTTTCACAAACCGGTATCATTTCACACTTGAACCTATGATGCCGCGACCGAAAGATAGTCCATCTAAAGAAAGAGCGCAGGGCGTTGTATATTCAACTCCATGCGCAGAGTGCCCTGTCACCTAAGTCGGCGAAACAGAACTTCCAGAAAGAATTCAACAACACAAAAACGATGTGCGAACATTCGACCGCGAGCGCTGCGCTATGGAGGAACAGTGTGAGGGCTATGACCATCGAATGCACTCGCAAACACCCGCATCATAAATGTTCGGGCGAATTTCCACCGGAGACTTTTTATAAAATCATGGCATATCAAAACAACACCAGAAAACGTCAGTATGTCAACTGGCACATTACCATCATCCTACGTGAACAGACTAAGTCACCCAACAAAGAAGTAAAAAAAGGTATCACTGTACACTCTAAAGAAAAACCGTGCGTCTACTTTTCCGTAAAACACTCGGAGAGCCGATCACCGCAACTTACGGAGGCAACTCAGCGAATGACGATGGTGAAACATTAGTTTAGACCAAAAAATGCAGTCTGAGTTGTGACATTTAAGCAATGCAAAATGTCACGCTTGCATTGCTTAACGTCACAACTCAGACTGCGTTTTCTGGTCTAAATGTATGTTTCGGCATCGCCATCCGCTGAGCTGCTTCTATAAGTTGCGGCGATTGGCTCTCCGTGTGTTGTGCGGGAAAGTAGACTCACGGGCTTTTTTTAGAGTGTAGAAGAAGACGAAGCTGATATCCTCTATCTGTAAATAGACGCCCCCGAAGAACTAACCGAGCCGGTTTTGAAACGACGGATCCTTCTTGTAGGATTTGGTTCTTGATTTTATGCAACTTTTTAAAACTTTTTCCCCAACCAGGGAGACCTCTGCCGAAATGCTTACGTACGTACAGGGCATGGCTTATGTGCACGCGTCTTGCTTTGTGATTGGTAATTTGGCGTTCTTATCAGCTAGCTAATACCGTAATATCTTTGCGCTTCCTGCTACGGGATTTGTTGTTCAAAGTTCTTGTTGGCTAATAACGCATTCTCATTGGTTACAGAACAATAATGAGATGCGCGGGAGTCCCCCCCCCCCCCCCGTTTTCCATATCCTCGGTGACCGTATACACTAAAAACATCCCGTGCGTCTACTTTCCCACACAAAAGTTAGAGAACCAATCACCGGAACTTTCGGAGGCAGCTCAGCGAATGGCGATGCCAAAACATATGTTTAGACCAAAAAACGCAGTCTGAGTTGTGACATTAAGCCGTGCAAAACGTCAGGCTTGCATTGCTTAATGTCACAACTCGTACTGCGTTTTTTGGTCTAAACCCATGTTTCTGCATTGTCATTCGCTGAGCTGCCTCCGTCAGTTGCGGTGAGTGGCTTTCCGAGTGTTGTCCGAGAAAGTAGACGCACGGGATTTTTTTTTTAGAATGTAGTCATTTGCTTCGAGCCTCTCTAGCAGAGAGGGCGAGTACGTGCAGCACGTGTACATACAAACCCAGCAGGGCCTTGGTGTTCCAATAATTTTGCAGAACATGCCTTTAGAAACGCGCTATTCTAATATACCTCACTTTTTCACACCCAATACATTTACTTCCGAAGAACCTCCATGACGTGAGAGATCTCAAGTAAGGTATTAATATGGTCTGCAATTTTTTTTTTCTTGGAATGTTTATCAGGTTGAGTTTTCGGAATTTATACCGTCAGATCTAGTTTCGGGAGCCACACGCTCGCGCAAGCAAGGCTGTAATTCCTTATTCGTGACGCACGAAGCACTAATATATCCTTAGGTATCCTTCGCACTACCCACTTAGTCGTGATGTGATTTTCCGTCCTATTGCCCACTTAGTCGTGATGCGATTATCCGTCGTAGTGCCAGTAAACTGTTATCACAAATCACCGCATTCTGCACCTTCAAATAGCGTTCAGTAAAATAATTTTAAGCTTTCGTGTTTTTGAAGTCCGTACACGGCGAGAAACCGAGGGAAAGAGGGAGATAAGAGCACGCGGGGGTCGTCCAAGCGCCGAGCTGTGATTGGAGCGATTATCAAGTAGACTAAAGACCCGTCGTTTCCCTCCAATTAAGACGCGGTCACACTGCTTATACATCATACAAAGCGACAATCTTTCTCTGGGGCATGTTGCTTTCTTACATGGCGGCGCTGTCACATTGGCCATACAAAAACTGTTTGCAGACATGTTCGAAGCGTACGAATGTTAGACGCAAACATGCCTCGAAGATCTTTGACGCGTGTCCGCAGACATTTCGGCCGTCATGTCGTCAGCGAACAACGTGTCATCTGTATGACGTATAAGTAGTACGACTGCGGCATATAAGCGAACAAGATTGTCGTCTGCTGCTCGCGAACTGTGTTGCGTTCAAACGGTGGTTTATAGAGACATCGGCAGCTACAGTCATTCCGACTACCCACTAATCCTTCCAATCAGAGCTCGGCGTTCTCACGTCCACCCGTGCTTTCCTCTCCCCATCTCCTTCAGTTTCTCTTCATTTAAGGTTGTTCTTCCGAAATGACTTCACCCACTCGCCTTTTCTTACGGTTGCAGACTTGGCGTGCCACCATCGCCGTGCCGTGGAGTACTTTATGGAGTCTATCCAGTCTGCCAGAAGCTGCCAGTTCAAGGCCCTCAAATGTCCCGGCGGTCAGAAGGCGTTTCTCGGGGGACGCTGCGGCAGGAGCGGCTACCACTGGGGCGAGATGGGCTACCACAGCATAGACGCCAAGGGAAGGGGAGAGCAGTACTTGTGGACCAACAAAGACTGCCCGTTCTGCAGGATGTAGGAAAACGCGGGTCATTGTGCAAAGCCCAAGACCGGCGCCACCCGTCATTTCAGTAATCGTTTTGTATATATACATCGTCATCGGTATGTCTCCTTGTATTCTCAGTCAGTGACAAAAAATAGAGAAAAGGAGCTTTCGCGTCGAGGCTTAGCGTAACGGAAAGAATGGGTCTGACATCTTGTAATTTTTATTCATTTGAAGCTACATCATCTCTTACTGGTTTGTTGGAAACGACAAACAGATTGTATTTTTCCTTATTCTTTCTCTCAACCTAGCGTTTGTTATATGCCCTACTGAGTAGGAATCAAGCTTTAACAATTCGTAACTCAAACGTAGCTCGCATTTTCCCCCCAACAATGGCGCATTCACTGCCACAAGATAGTTGTACGAATAAAATTGTTTGAACGTGCTTTCTTCATTTTCTGCGTTATTTATACTGTTATTAGTTTTATAGTATTCCACCCCTTTTTATATTCTCTTAAAAAAAAATCTACCGCCAAATTTATGTTAGGTTCTGTCATCGCATTCAATTTACAACTATCGACCTGGTCATAACTACTAGAAGAAAGTTGTTAGGCTTCTTGTGCGCTTTCGTGAATCCCTGCGTTGGGATGCACGTTAAGCCTGCCATAATTGCAAGTGCACTCTAAAAAAAAAAAAAGGGAGGAAAAAGGTAGTAACAACGCGTTTTCCTCCCTGCCCGACACAACTTGAGGTCGAGGAGCATTCTACCATACCGATGGCGTCGGAGGAGAAAAAACAGAGGTAAAAAAAAGGAGGGGGGGGGGGGGGGGCTCCCGCCCCCCCCCCCCCCCCTTTTAGATATTTCGGACTGTTAAAAAAAACAATACGGGGAAAGAGGGCATGGTCGAGCTTATTTTATTGTGAAATTATTTATGCGTATGTATAGCCCCCCCTTACTGTAGCTCTTCACTACATCAAAGATCGCGTAGATGGTCATTGTCGGAAACTCGCTGTCAGAAGGCACCGCTCGTCGCATGCTTAGTGGTTTGGAAGTTCAAAGCTATGTTTTTTCGACCTAAATAACTGTGCCATTGGTAAAAATAAAACAAAAAACAAACAAACAAAAAAACATTAAACATTAGAATAAATGTGAAAATAAAAAGCTGAAAAGAAAAAAAACTAACAAGGACCCACCGGAAGTGTTGTACTCTTGCATTTTCAGAGACTCAGAACTTCGAAACAAGTTTTTCCTACCAAAATGCGTACAGTCTAAAAAAACGAAAAACACGTCCCACAAGCGTAGAACAAGAAAATAAAAAATAAAAATAGCTTCTCTTTTTTTTTAATGACGTGCTAAACTTGAACAAAACTAAAAATCTTTCTTCATGAGTTAATTTATTCCTCAACGTGAAAAAACAATAAATACATTATTTTGTATTCTGCAGATGGCAATGATGTGTATAGTCTGGGCTGTTAATTTAATTGCGATACCTCAAACAATTTAGATGAAAAAAAATGACCAAGTTTAGGGCATAAATGCCCGTAGATATATGATTGGACATTTCTTCCAAACTCATCTTGACTAACAATAATCATACCTTAAGACGACACTTACCTAGGCTATAGATAGATCATCCTTAAAAAATGTTTAACATCTCTACCATAAATAGCTTCGGCTATAGCGTGTTTCAAATATGGCACAAAAGACAATCGTCGAAAACCCGTCGTCCTTCCTCGCTCCTTCGGGTATTTATTTCTTTAAAGCTAAGCATGCTAGAACATTGAAATAAACGGCATTGTCTTTCACAAGGAATGCGGCACCACATGTGAAAATTCGAGAAAAAAATTACGAAGTACGTCACTGCTTGAATCCAAATGAAACCGCCCGCCTGTCTTTCAAAGTTCGACGAACTTCGAACTTTTAATCTGAAAGTTTGAAGTTCGTTGACCGTTTGACTTTTCAAGATTAGAAAGTTCGAAAGGTTTCAAATTCTCTAGATGAATAAGTTCGAAAGTTCGAAAATTATTGCATTTTTTAGCGTAAAAAGTTCGAAAGCTTTGGACTTTTTAGTGCAAAAAGGTCGAAAGCTCGAAAATCATCGAGTTTTTTTTTTGTCTATCAAGTTAGAAAGTTCGACAAGCATCGAATTTTGCGGCGTAATAAGTTCGAAATTTCGAAAAGCGTCAAACTTCTTAATTAACCAAATTCAAAATCTTTGAAAACCTTTCGAACCGCTTGATTCGGTGAACAAAACTTCGGTTCGAAATACGTTCGTGACATCCCTAGAGCTAAGGCAAGAGAGATGGTTAGCAGCGGGCATTGGATGCCAACAAACAATGACTCAAGAAATCCCTACCTAAGGAACTCCGGCAGAAGATGCTCTGACTCCACTTCTGGTACGCCATCTGGTTCGAGTCACCGACTACGCAACACCTCCCAGAAGAGAGAAGAGTACGCATAGAGAAATAGTTTGGAGAATCGGAAGGAACCTCGGTCAGCATAGTAACAATGCCCCAGCATCTCCTTGACCCCGGTGCCCGCAGAAGTTAAAAAAAGAAAATGCGTTGGAACCTGTATTTTTTGCCTCGGGGGGGGGGGGGGGGGGGGGGGGGGGGGGGGGGGGGGGGGGGGGAGGTATTGCTCAAGAAATGTAGCGCAATACATTTCATCCGGAGTGCATCGCGATACAAAGAAACATTCTTAATGTATTTCGATGCAGGAATACAGATATTGGTGAAAAAAAGGTATCGCGATACAGAAATTGAGATACAAAATATAGTTCTGAAATACTATACATTTATACACATCTGTATCGCGATACAGGTGTGTATAAAAAAACAGCGTTGTTCTACGCTGGACTGTAAACACCATCGTTCGGGCGCTTATCGGCGCGGCGTAGTGCACTACGCCGCGCCGATAAGCGCCCGAACGATGCTGTTTACAGTCCAGCGTAGAACAACGCTGGTCCAGCGCGCCCCGACGAACTGCCACACTTTGCGCATGCGTGTCCCCGTGGCAACCGCATCGTCAGTAAGGGTTATCAATGGGCGGTAGCTTGCGCCACCTAGCCTAGACGCAATCGGTCAGTGTGGTTTGTCCTCGTTTGACAGGATAGCCCTGTCTGACAGATAGCCCTGTCTGACAGATAGCCGGTGTGTTATCATCATAGTAGACTTTCACAGAGAGGACGATGCCTAATTACGCAATGTACGCATTCGAAATTGTAACGAACTTTACAAAGCATATACAAACAATACAGAATTCAGTCCAATTTTCATCGCATACCGTTACTATTGTTTACAAGCGTAGACCGTTTACAAGCTGAGACAGCCCAGCTGAAAATTTCTGGCCGGCTAAATAGGTCAGGGTTTTCACTGTGTCCGCCATTCCCGTACATTCGAAGACGCTTTTTCGATCTGGAACGACTGCCTGTGAGTGCGACTAACCCATGATTATAAATATCACACAAATTAGGTCATTTTGAGATCTCATTAACTCTACCTTTGGCGCGTCATTGAGCTTCCAGCTTTTTCCGGCACCCCAACACCACGGCCCACCACCACCGCCTCGTTAGGTTGATGGGCCTATCGAGAATCGAGGGTAGCGCACCCTCAGAGTTGTCCACGTCCACACACACACTGGCCCAGTCAAGCGCACGAATGTTAAACACGCACACCAACACGGGAACACGACAGCAACACGCGGCAAGACAACACGCGGCAGGTTCTGATCTCAGAAATCAGCATCTCGCACACTCCGACTAGCCCCGACGCCCCGACAACCGGATTCCCGATTCCTAATGGGGCACTCGCGCGAGGGTTTCTGGGATAGGCTCCGTCGGCGCCGTCGTCGCCCAACGTTGAACGTAGAGCACGTCCAAGTCCGTCGTAAGCTACGCTGTCGCGCGTCGAGCTGCTCAGCGCTGCGCCGCGTTGAACTTGACGTTGAAGTATAGACACCCCGTTCGGAGACAGCGTCAGCGAGTGTGAACGAGAGCGTGCGCTCGTTGACGTTACGACGGTGTGTAAAAAGCCCTTTAGACGGCGTCCTCGAGGTTGTTCAAGAGGTCGTCCGAGAAGTCGTCCTTACCGTCGTACGCCGCCCTTGACGTCGTCCAAGAGGTTGTCTAAGACGGCGTTCTTGAGTTCCACCTAGAGGTCGTCTTAAAGGTCCTCTTTGAAGCCGTCCTTGAAGTCGCCCATGAGGTCGCCCTAGACGACGTTCTAGACGTCCTCCTTGACTTCGTTTTTTATATGTACACGGCATAGCATTTTAGAGCGCAGCTCTTAGGGGCCCGTTTCCAGCCTGAGCGGCGTCGGCGTCGGCGTAACCGGGGGGGGTCACGTGACCCCCGAGGTCACGTGACCCTCCCTCGAGGTCACGTGACCCCCAGGTCACGTGACCCTCCAAATCACGTGACCCCCCCCCCCCCTCCCCCGAGATCACGTGACCCCCCGGGGTCACGTGACTACCCGCAGGTAACGTGGCCCCCCTCAGTACCCTTCCCTACTCCTCCTCAAGAGCTGCGCTCCAATTCGGCGTTACAGGGATTTGTAAACGGCTTTCATTTTTTTTTATTATTTATTCTTTATTCAAAGATTACCCGGCATTGTCCGGAGGCGTTAAGGCAAAAAGGTTACAGTTAAAAAAAAAAAGTCTACATTTGTAGAGCATACCTGATCTTCAATCAACCAATTCCACTCTGCAGTGGTTTTAACAAAAAAAACACACATACATGCTTGTCCTGGCTTGGTACTTTTGGATTTCGAACACGCGATCAGTCCGCCTAGAAACATAATGTGGGTGTTTTAAATATATTTCTTTATTAATACCGGTCTTAGTATTGTAAATAAGAAACAAAAACTTCAATCTCAACTTTTTTCGTCGGGAGGAAAGTAGTTCCCAATTCAATTTCCTTTTCATTTTAGTGCACCTCACCCTCCGCCCATACCAATCCAGGACGAACCTAGCAGCACTGTATTGACTTATTTCCAATTTATCGATCAAAGTTGTTTCCGAAGGGTTCCAGACGGCACAAGCGTATTCTAAAATGCGGAGGGCAAGTTCGTCTGCTTCTTGCGCAAAGGGTAGCGGTGACGTCA